GTCGTATTCACCAAATACTTTTGTAAACGCCTCCAAAAAGGTTTCAAAGTTATTTAGTATGGACAATCGTTTCTCAAACAAAGGGGTAAACCATGATAGAGCTTGCCTTGTAAATAAGGTTCTAACAAGCCTAACACGTGACTCCTCCGTTGGATAGCGTTCAGGTTGTAAAACTATTATCAACCTGATTTGATTGACGAATCCTCAAAACTTAGAACGCGTACCATCGAACTTGTCCGAAAGGCTAACTCGGGGCTCCTTATGTTGTAGAATCAACTGTGCTTGTTAAACCTGAGGCAAAGTTGCTTCTCCAAGTGTAGAAGTTTGAGGCTAGTGCAACTTAGATTATGCCATCCTAGATGCTCCATCATCATGAAGCCTTGCCATCACTCCTTCAATCTCTGCACTTCTTTGCGATAACGTAGCGAGGGCATTCATGATAGCATCCAACTTGGACTCCAAACTTTCCGTCATACTAATGTCTTGGCCTCCAGCCATTCTAAGAAAAGGACAGAAATGACTCTACAAGAAGACAATATTGGTTTAGAGGAGGGTACTCCGCAACCTCTAAAATACCTTAAGAGCTTCAAGAAAAGGGGTAATCCACTCTCTCCAAGAAGAATAAGACTCCAATATTGTAACAAAAGAAGTATCAGTTTAGAGGAGGGTAATCCACAACCTCTAAAATGCTAGTACATTTCCAAGCAGAGGGATAATCCACACTCTAACGAGGATGAAATTAGCTCTGATATGTGAGATGAGTGAAGTCTCAACAAACTATCACGGACACAGAAATACAGACTTAAGATCTAACAAGAAGTTCAAGAAGAATTGGCAAGAACTAGATTAATCAGATGAATATAAGAACAACACTAGAGAGGTGAGCTAGAGCTCCAAGAGATGTGTTGACAAGACTGAAGAACTCTTCAGCCTCGATTCTAATATAAACTCCTATTTAAGAAGCTTCTCAAGCAACTTCTACCAACTAAGAAGCTTCCCATGCAATTTCTATCAACTAAGAAGCTTCTAGAAGGTTCCAAAGACTTGCTTTTAGAAGGTTCTAGAAACTTGTCTCTAGAAGGTTCTAACGACTATGTCCCTAATATCTTCTACCAACTAGGAAGCTTTCCAAGCAATTTTTATCAACTAAGAAGCTTCTAGAGGGTTCTAGAAACTTGTCTCTAGAAGGTTCTAAGGACTATGTCCCTAACATGATTCTAATGGCCATTAATCTAACTTCATTATTAACAAAAATTTCAAACATTACAATAAGCAACTTCCACAAAAAATGATAATTTCATTCAAAGGTAATGATTAAAAAAATTGGTATCTATTTAAGGTATTTTTTACTCTTATTGAATTACAAGAGGATAGATTGGATTCAAATATTATTAAAGATAGCAAACTTGGTTGTTCTTATTTCTATTCTCTAAATTAAATTACTTATAAGAAAAGCTAAAATAAGTTCTTACTTTAATAGAAATTAAATTTTTTCTTTATTTTTCTTTATTCTCAATTCAAAGCCATGCTAAAAAATAAAGTTGAAAAATTATTTTAAACAACAAACTTACTCATGTTTCTTTCAATCAATAAAATTAAACTTCTTAGAATGAAAGATAAAGTAAGTTTTTTTACTTGAATAAATGTTATAATTTGATTTGAACCTCTTTATTCTAAGGTCTAAAAAATATTTTTAAAAAGTTACTTCTTAACTATAATCTTTTGCTCTAAGCTTCAAGCAATGTTTATTTAAAGTTCTACACTAATAATATAAAACTTAGAATTTCCTCTCAATCAAGATTAGAACTATTTGATTTTTAAAAATTATACTAAAATATAAGAAAAATAATTGCATCCAAATTAAATATCTTAAAATCCTATGTAAAAATTAATAACAAATAATTAACTTACTTAAATAAATTAATATACATTTGTAGTCAAACCTAAGTTTATTGTAATATTGACTATCTAAGTTTTACATTCATTATAATATATAATTGATGGCATCATAATTTTTTATCTATATAGATATATTACATTCAAATTATTGACTTCATCTAATATTATATATATTCAATTATTTCATCTATTGATTTAATTATTCATCTAAATTAAAAGCCTATGCCTTTTTTAACCTTCTATCTAAAATTTATCTATAATAACTAACTAATGGATCTACAGAATTATTTAAGTAAAGAATTAAAAAGAATGGGTACTTCAAAACTTAATGTTGCACCTTTCTTTATAAAGTAACATATTATATTTGCTACCAAGCTCCAAATAAAGTTAGACTAATCTTGTTAGATAGACAACTTGAAGATGTATTATTTTATTTTTTATATTTAATCTTCAAATTCGTCTAGATGTCTTAAACATTGTTCTTTAGTGATGATGCTTTAATTTAATATGGCATCATACTTCTTTCTACAAAATTAAGTATCACAACTTTTTTTTAGATTTTCTATAAATAAACTTAGATTTATTAGAATTATAATTTTAGATGATATTTTTTTTCTAAAATATGAGTCATTGAATTGCCTTAGCTTCTTGTTCATACCTTCTAAAGTTTTTTTTTCAATTGACAATTTTTATTTAGAGGCAATAAGCCACATATTATAAAAAATATTACTCTTATTATATCTTAGTCTCAAAGTTATTGATTTTTAGCTTGCTGCAAATAAGACTTCATCATATCTTCTAGAAAATATATTTTTTTATATTTGACTACTAAAAAATGATGGTAGTTTTTTAAAATAAAGCTTCTAGATTGTAAAGATAGTATGCTTTCTTTTATTAAATTGGAGGTTTTTTTCTTGTCCAAATTCTAAATTCTTATATCATTGAATCTAAAAACTTTTAAAAATATTCCTTATTTTATCTAAATTTTAAGAATTGAAAAAAAAATAAACAAATAAATAAGTAAAATCTCTTATAAGAGTCTATAAAACAAAATACATGACTTTACTTATATACAAAGAGAGAGATTCTAAGTGCATGAGTACATGAGTCTTCTTATACTATTGCTTTAATACCTAAGAGTAGCAGTTTCACCTTTACCTTCAAACTCAAAGAAATCCAAACTAAGATAAGTGGCCTTAATTTATCTAATAATCAAAACTTGAAATTAAAGCAAATGGCAATCAAATGAGCCATAGAAGTGTTTTTGTCAAAAAGAAAAAAAAAAAAAAGAAAAAAAAAACTTTACTATTGTATTTAAAGTACATTTTCTAATAAATATTGACTATTCACAAACTTTAGTCCATAAAATTGTAAGTTTTATAATGATTAGAAATATAAAAATTTGAATTAAAATGAAATTAATTCTCAATTATTTATTAATTATTTAAAATATATTTATAGTATTTTCATACTATAAATAGATTTACTAAATACTATAAATAATAAATAAAAAAATAAAATATAGAATTTAAAAAATGAATAGATGACTATTGTTAATAAATTTTAATTATTGGTTAGAATTCTTCTTATACCAATCTTTATACCTGCAACAAGCATATGAATTGAATTATATTGTGTATTTATCAATTGTAAATAATATATATATATATATATATATATATATATATATATATATATATATATATCATATTTATTTTAGATCATAAAAGAATACATTTGAATATTGTATTTTTTTTAATTAGATTAGAACTTAAATAATAGCATTGTATTAGTTTTAATATATTAAAATATCATTAAAGTATTAAGTATTTGAATAATTTATATCTCTAATTTAATTTATCTTATAATTATTATTTATAAAGTTTTTTATAGAAAAAATATGGATTAAATTAATGCTCTTTGTTCAATAAATTTAGATTAATGGTTCAAAAATATAAAATAGAATACTTCAAATTAATAAATGTTTTTGATAAAAGATCTTTTTTCCATTGATTATTTGATTATGCTTTGTTATATCAATACATTTGTTGTAATTATGTTGAATTAATAGCCATGATCAATAAATACTATAAAAATTAAAATTAAAATTAAACATATGATTTGAATTTTTTTATTATTTTTAATATATGTATCTTTTTTAAAAATTTATCTTTATAAATTCAAATTAATATTCTAATTAATTTTATAGTTTTTATATATTTTTTAAAACCTTTGGAAAGTTGATTATATGTAAATTATTAAAGATGAGGTAGATTTATCTTTGATTGTGGCAAAAGAGTAATCTAATAGGTCACTAGTTATTTGTAGATAATGAGAAATTAAAAATAATATAAAAAAATTCATATATATATATATATATATATAAAATAACCTAATACTTTTTATATCCTACATAAAATAACCTAATAACCTATTACATAAAATAAACTATTAACCTAATACATAAAATAACCTAATAATTTTTATATCAAAATTTTACACTGAAAAAAACTTATACATCTACAATAAATTACTTGTTTTAAATTATTGATATATATTTGTTAAAATAAAGTTATACTTATGAATCAGAATAACGACAATAATTCCACTTATCTTATGTCAGTCTAAAAAAAGACACATCTGTGATACAAGATCGCACACTAGTAAAAATACCAAAGTGAAGGAGAAAATAGAAAAAAGATGGTAGATTAAATGGAACGATGCCTTGGTCGATTCCTCAATTAGCGAAGGCTCTTATGGCCCCTTAAGCCCCCCAAACGTTTTCCATCCATCCCACAACGGTCCTCCGGGAGGCCATGTCCCGTCCTAACGGTCAGACGGGTACTACACGTCACCACGACACGTCATCTGAGCTCCGTCCCCATTGGCCGAATTCAAATATCCACTCCGCGCGCGTTCACATGAGTCGCCCCTGCGTCCCTCCCGAGACGGGAGCGAACGTTAGGCCAGCGGCTTGGGACACGGTAGCGGCGAAGTTCGCACCCGTCGCAACGAACATCATCTGCGCGGCGGTGCAGCTCGGCTATTGCATCCGCTGGCGATCAGTCCAGAGAACGGGAAACAGAAGGAAAAAAAGAATGCAAGGAAAGAAGCAATAATAACCGCGCGGTATTCGTTGCGGAATCTGTCAAAAATGGAAAGGAGAAAGCATTGGCGTAGGCTGAGGACATGCAATGGGTGGGTGATGTCACGGCGAGGTGAAGGGCGTTGTTGGGCTGGTTTGGCACGCCGTGGTGAGGTGTGACAACGGTATGAGAAAGGCCCGTCAGAGTCATTGACCGAATTCTGTGAGGGAACGTTGTATTTTTATTATTATTTTTGGCCGTTTGGGGAGGCCCCACATTGTGCTCCGTTGCCATGCCTCCCGCTGCTGTACTGTGTCGTTGCTGTGATTTTATGTAGCACTCGAGTCTCAGCTCCAACCAGGTTGATATTCGGTGTCTGCGGTTGGGCCGGAGGGATTAGGAGCCTATGCATTAGTTAGGGTTTTTCGGGGATTGGTGGTCTTCGTGTCATTGAGTGAAGTCTAATGGTGGGGTTGGTGTTGCAATGAGTATATGTTGGTTGTTCTTGCCTTTCGCGTTAGGGATTAGGATTTTGCTGTCAGTTAGGTTGAGTCGGATTCCCATTATTGTACTGTTCTCAGTGTATCAGCGCAGAAGAGTGGTTTGGCGTGTGCCAGGAATCTAGCTTGTTCTGTATGGAGAATCGATGGTGTATTCACGGAAGGTCCTCGAATTACGGTTGTAATTTGGGTCGGGAATTGTCGCAGTAGGTCGATTGCAATCTGATACTGGAACCAGCTCCTCGCTCTCAAAATCATGGATTTTACCGTTCGAAGATTTGTATGAAACTCTTCACGAATGCAGCTGGGATGTCCACTGAAGTGCTGAGCATGAAGACCCGGCAATGCAGGACTCTGTTTCAGTAAATGTGTCAGTGCTGCTCTAAATGCAACTTTGATGCTCTGGATTCCCGGTCATTTTAACAATGTCACCGATAGTATGCGTTAAAAGAGCTTGAGTTGAAGACCCGATGGACAGGGTTTGCCAACGATGGTTGTGAAGGCTGCCTTGATCGAATCTATATTCTCAGTCCTCCAACATCAAGCCCTGGGCCCGGAGGTTGTTGATTCTGTGGCAATGGCAGTTGGAGAGCCAACTGGCGCGAAGAGATATGTCAAAGGTCACAATCTCGGTGAGGGGACATATGGTGTCGTTTTCAAGGCTGTTGACACAGTGGTAATCATCTTCTGCTTCCTCTACAGTGTGATTCTTATTAAGAATGCTGAAGTTTGTTATAGCTTCAGGTTGCGCAGGCTAGCTGTTGAATATTGAAACCCAGCAAGAATCGTACATGCAACAAATTCTGGATGACTAGAAAAGTAAACGTCAGGGTGGTGACATAAAGACGACACATGAATCCGTCAATGCTCGAGTTTGCATTTGTAAGCTTGGAAATGGAAAGCTCCAAACTTTTTCGGATGACTTCGCGATTTGGACGTGCTTGGGATGTGATACTACATCGCTTCGAGTTTCTTGGGTGATATTAGTTATCAGGGATAGGAGTTCGTTACCACTACTTTTATGCTACTCATGAAAGGTTCAGCACTTCAATTCTTGCTTAGAGATCGCTCCTAGAGTACCGTGATTCACTGGTGTGATTTTATGGTGATCCATAGGAACCCTAATCCTGGAAGCTGGCTCAGAGTATCGAGTCAAGCTCACCTTTGGAATATTGAGCTAGTGGTTTGCACCAGTGTCAAGTCTCATTGAAGCCACACAAAGTGATGCGAGTGCTCCTTTCAGAATGCTACGCTTTACGCATCCTAACTTACACTTTTGGCACTGATGGATGAGTTCCACTTCAAAGTACTCGTACAACACATAGTTAGACATACTTCACATCGAATTCGAACGGATTTCGCAAACAGCTCTATTACTTGTAGTGATAGATCAGTTATCCTTAAGTGTATGGTTACTATGAATTGTTACTTGCAGCTGAGCTTGGTAATGCCACAGGACGTCTTTAGGTGTTTCTATTTGATACGGCAGCTTATCACGTTAGTACATTTGCCTACCGAACTTCTAGGATGTTCAGAGCTCCTGTTGATGATGTAGTATCTGGTTACATGAATATTGGAGAAGTCAGTGGGCCATAATTGAGGTTTGTATACGAGTAGTATCTGTGTTCTTATAACCATGTGCGGAACAGACCAGAGTTATTAATCCAAGCGTTTCAAATTCTTGCAGACAAACAGGACAGTAGCTATCAAAAAGATAAGATTGGGAAAGCTAAAGGAAGGTGTGAATGTGACAGCCTTGAGGGAGATTAAACTTCTGAAGGAATTACAAGATCCAAACATAATTGAGCTGATGGATGTATATCCACACAAGAGCAACTTGCACCTCGTATTTGAATATATGGAGAGTGATTTAGAAGCAGTGATCCGGGATCGAAACATATTTCTCTCTTCTGCCGACTGCAAGGCCTATATGCAAATGATTCTCAAGGGACTTGCGGTTTGCCACAAGAAGTGGGTGCTTCACAGGTATGTTTCCTAAGATATTGGCATCCTGCTCATACTTTTGTGTGAAGATGCGCATTCGATCGCAGAAGTTCTCATGCTACGCTTAATTCTCTATGTTAGAGTGATGAATGTGACGAAGTGGATAGGACCGTGTCGAGTGATATGTATTAGTCAGGTTTAATCGTTATTGTTGATGGTGATGTTCGGCATTTTACAACAAAATGAACCCTTAATTTCTGTTCACGCGCTCATCTTTCCTGTCCATTCCAATCAATGCCTTCTACCATCATTTCAATTTTGGTATGTTGCTTACCATATGTGATTTATACAGGGATTTGAAACCAAATAATCTTTTACTTGGTTCCAATGGGCAGCTTAAGCTTGCCGATTTTGGATTAGCTCGTATCTTTGGAAGTCCCGATCGAAGGTTCACTCATCAGGTATATTTAGGATCACCTATACTCTCCTCGAATACTGGTCTTCTCGGTGTGCGATCCACTTCCCAATGCTATCCTTTTAGTTTACTGTGAGAGAAGATGAAACAAGCATTTCGTAGTTAGTCTACTGCAGACTGGAATGGGTTGCTAGTGGTAACACTTACAGCTGATCTAGTTTTCTGGTAACGTCTCTGAAAATGACCACATTTGGACTTCAGGTCTTTGCACGGTGGTATCGTGCACCTGAATTGTTATTCGGCTCCAAACAGTATGGACCAGGTGTAGACGTGTGGGCCGCAGCATGTATTTTCGCGGAACTCATTCTTCGTCGCCCTTTCCTCCAGGTACAATTGAGAGGATATACTGATAGGCTTGTATGAGCTGAAGTTTTCGTATGATAATCATCAAGGCCATCGTTATGTGCCATTCATGAACTTTAATACAGGTCTGATGTTCGATGGTCTTGCTGATATTAAACATCTTATGAGCTTCTATTATGTCAACTTCATAGCTCTGCCAAACTCATACCTCAGAGTGGTATGGCACATGTGAGACTGGGGATGGACTTACGAGTTGAAATTTGTGTCATATGTAGGGCTCCAGCGATATTGATCAACTGGGGAAGATTTTTGGAGTCTTTGGAACTCCTGGGGAAGCCCAATGGCCGGATGTGACCAGCCTTCCTGATTACGTTGAGTACCAGTACTCTCCACCTCAGTCTTTCCGTAGTCTTTTCCCGCAGGCAAGTGAGGACTGCATTGACCTTCTTCAACGAATGTTCACCTACGATCCAAAACAAAGAATTACTGCCCAGCTAGCACTGGAGCATAGGTATAGTTTTCTCTTCGATCCCCCTGTCTCCCTTCAAGGATCTTTTGGGAGCTGACTTTACTCTGTCTGGCTCTCTCAGTACGAAGTTTGATGGCGTTTTAGTTTGACCTGTGCTATCTAATGAGTAATACTCTTCTACTATACGGAATCGGGCCACATGAGTTTCCATTGTTAACTGACGTACCTTTGCAATATCAGATATTTTAGGACTGAGCCTGCACCAACACCATGTTATATGCTTCGAAGGCCGGTAAAGCCGGAAGTACATCCAAAGCCCATTGAGCTTTTATCTCCAGCTGGACACATTGTCTTTTCTCCTCCCACCAAGACACGTCGTCTTCAGCTATTTGGTGGGGATATCAAAACAGCAGGTGAAGCGAGCCGGGATACACACGCCAAGCTGCAACCGGAGTTGGGAACTCCAATTGATGCTATCACTATCCCTATGTCAATAGATCCGAAAACAAATCTTCGACCCACTCTCAACAGGTGAAAATCATCTGTAACTTTCATGCCCATGTTTTGCTCTTACTTTTGCTTCTATCTTGTACTTTAAGACAACAATCATTCTCCAGGCTACTTGAGTTTCTGGACTTAAAACCTGTCCCTGCGAGCAAAATACTCGGAACATGTTCCTGTAACTTTACCGTCACATTTTTCCTGCTCAGTTCTCTTGTGAGTATTGGGTAGGATCTCGGTTGTACATGGTAATGTGTATCGGAGGCGAATGTTGTCTACAAGTGGAATCGTTTTGCAAGACGCTGATGGTTTTTCTCTCTGGGTTGAACTGGGCAGTTCCGATAGATCATATTTGAAGAGGAAGCTAGATATGGATATTTTTCTTACTCCTGCACGGCGATAAAGATTACCATGCATCAATTACACAAATCTGTCATTACTTCATGGGGTCTTTTGTATCTACCAAGACGACCCGTAGAGACTTAGATGAGAGAATTAGCGTGAAGTGGACCGAATCACGAGCGCAAATGCAGAGAGTTAGATTTCACTCTAGACCAAGGGTCAAGGAAATTGAACGTCAAAGATTTTTGTGTAGGTCTCAAGCATCAGAGACCTGAAATAGAGTCGATTGATCAGAAGTAAGTTTCGGGCATAGTGTACAGATAAAGAAGAGGGCTGGAAGATAAGCGATGCAATGTGCACAGTCATGCAGGACACTCATGGCTGAAGCATGCAAAGCATTGAATTATTGGGCACAAAGCTTCCGCATTGATTTCATGTTTGCCACAGAGGTGAGCACTCTCTGTAAAGTATTGTAAGCGAAAAGATTGCTGACTACTGTGTCGCGGTTACAAGTCTATTGGTTCTGTCAATGCAATTTGTGACTATTCCCATCCTTGCCACTACATACTTTGTCTTAAAACTATGTTTTTGTTGATAGGAACGTGGGGGTTAAACAGTGGTGTAGCAGATTCTACAGTTAAGTCATGCCGTTCAATTGCAGGCACAGCAAGACGCTAAGTTCCTATTGTGAGGTCTCACTCATCCTTTGTCAACGTAAGTGAAAATGATGATTAGTGTGCTGCTTGACTTATGATCAGTGTGTCCAACACTCACTCAGACAATATAATACCATGCTTACATTGTTCGTATTGAGCATAATAAACCAATGTTCCATACTGCATGCTCTTGCTTGTCACCACACTGCAACGATATTTTGCAGATTCTGGGCAGTGACACAGACATGCCGGTCGAAGCTAGCGGTTAGTGGAGCAGTTGCTTAGCGGTCAAGGACATGAGCTGGTTCGAATTCTGGTGAATAATTCAGCATGCTGTGCATTACAAGTTTAAACATGCGCTCCAATTCTACACTGCATACCCAATTAGTCAAGTGAAATGTAACGTTGTAGTTCAAATGCGATGTTTGCAGGTTTGGAATCTTGCACAAATGTTCTAACATCTCTTCCCAGCTTATCGACATTTTCTCATTGCCAAGCTCATGTTTTTTTCTAGATTTGTACATGTCAAGTTGTGCACTCAGATGCTCATTTATTTACTTATTTATTTATGCTTAATGCTTTAGTTTAGTATGAATTTAAACTTATAAAGGATGTTACCTCCCTAGTTTGGAGGCTTGAAATGCAAGTATTATATCCCAAACTAATTTAATAGATACTAGCATAGGATAGGGTTGTGCATCTTCCCATTGTGGTTTTATTATTTTTAATCTAATTTAAATTTCAAATATTTTAAATATTATTATTTAATTTGCTAAAGTTTTGAATAATTCAAAGAATGTTGTATAATTATTAATTTGTAATATACATGATTATATTTAGATATATATATATATATATATATATATATATATTATATCTATTTTTAACATATCTTTATATAAAAATATGTCAAAGTCATATCCTTCAAATCATATGATGAGTAATTTGGTGCTATGTCACTTTATTCAGTGTGGTGGATTATCATCCTTTATAAGTACAAAAGATAGTCGATCGTTTGTGCCCAAGCATCTTCTTTGCTCAAAACACTATTTGAAAGTGTAGATGTTAGCCTTGTCAATAGTGCCTAAGGATATAAAAAGTAACCTCATTAAGAGTGCTTGAGAGTGTGGAAGGCTTATATGTTAAAACTAAATTTTGGTTTTGGCTTGAAATCTCATTGCTTGTTGCTCTCACATCAATGAATCTATTCAAAGTTTGGTATCAAAGTTGTTATTGACTTGTACAAATATATTGCAAAATTTCTCATGGCTAAAATAATTTTATTTAGCATCTTAGATTTTCTTGTTTTCCTTGCTTATAGATATGTATGGTTAGTCATGAATTATTTTATGAATTTGGCTTATAAATCAAATTTGCTAACTTTATAAAATGAATATAAACTTTGAGCACTTATAATTCGATATCTTTGACATACTATCATTCCAAATATGCTTGTCAATAAGCTAAATTAAGTACTAATTATATTAAGAGTTGTGAAAACAATACAACAGAAGATCCTTTGAGAATTTTGATTTTACAAATTGATGGATCCACTTAGTGTATAAGATTGGAATTGATGAATAAGAGGTTGCTCTAGTACCATTTAGTTTTTGATTTTCTTGTTTAGTATAAGCTTGTTGGCAATTTTTGTGGTGGAAAATAAGTTTGTGTATATGTGTCACGGACATATGCATGTAAGCCAATAATTACATGTATAAATAGGCAGAAGTAAGTAAAAGTAGATAAAAATAAATTAATTCTATAGTATTTGATATGGAAGCTTTGTAGAAGCTTTATAGATGCTACTTTGACTTTATAGGTGTCTTTAATTGACTTTTTGGAATTAGAAACGTAATCAATAAGTTGGCCATGTGCCACACATGTTGTTAACTTGAAGACCAAACTAACTATGTGGCCCACACATAGAAAAACTTGCTTTGTAAGTCAAGGCATATGTCCTACAAAGTCAACACATATTGGAGGTCCTATAGAATGTCACCACGTAGCCCCTAGTTAGATAGTATATATAGAGACAATAGTGAAGCATTCTTCACTCTTGTCAACTCCTTTCTTACTTCCAGAGTAGTTTCAAGGGTCTCTAGTTTTCTTGGCTTTTGGCAATAGCCATTCTAGTTTCTTTCTTAATATATATATATATATATATATATATATATATATATATCAAATTATTTCTATTTTTTTATCTTTCTATGAAAAAAGTCTCACTTGTTTATTTATCTTTATCATGTTCTTGTCCTTGACAATATGTATATGTATGCATGTACATCTACTTTGATTTCTTTATTATGGTCAATAGACACTAAAAGATTAAGCAAAAGATTTTATGTAGTTGTTTTGCAACAATTATTTTTGCTTGACAAAGCCAATGTATGCAACAATTATTTTTGCTTGACAAAGCCAATGTTTTATTTTTTTGATTTAGTCTGAGCTTTTTCCTTAGCAATTGAGTGACTTCAACACTATTTTTGACATAATTTCTTTAGAAATCAAACTATTATTGTCTATTCTATATGTATATATGAATCATAATTTTTTAAAAAATATTTGCAACCTTCACAATTTAAACCTTTTTTGTTTCATAACTATAAGCTTATATATAAATGCAACAAAAGTATCTTGACCAATTCCATGAATTTTATGAAGATTTCAATATTACTAAGCTGCAATTTTTTCCAAAAGAGGTACATTGTGTGGAATTCTTGAAATCTTTTATAAAGAAATTGATAAAATCTTACGTTCTTGAACCAGCAAGAGAGCATACTGATTTGAAAAGAATTTAGGAATTGAAAACTAAGGTAGTATATTTACAAATTATAATTATTAATTTACAATCAAAATTATAGAAACTTAGAAGGAATCATTAAACTCCAAAGAATTGTCTCTTTTCATTTAAATTATTACAATAAAGCTTTCAATTATTCTAAAGGAATTAGATTTAATATCTTTTCTTGTTAGTAAATCTCTACAATTCTTTCTTGTATTTAGTGTTGTACTATATTTTAGAGACATTGTTGTACCATCTTATAAGTATAAAAATCACAAAGATTTAATCTCTTATTTATTTATTTATTTATTCTTTCTTTATAATCAATAAACCTAAGAAATATATTTTTAACTTATGCATTGTACCAAATTTTGTTCAATTCAATTATCAGATATTTCATACCCCACACTATCTTGTTTATGATTGAGAGCTAAAAGATTTGTTTTGGTAGTGCAAATTATGTCAAAGATTGCCAAATTAAGGATTCAATAAAAAAAAAGTAGAAAGATCTCATTGTATAATATTGATTCTACTATTGCAAGTAAAATTTAAATATTCAAAGTCTTGTTATGTCAATTTTTTTATTTTGGAGAGAAATTAATCATAATTTAAAACTAAAAATATATATAATATATCTACTAAATATTGATCGTTGGTAATTGACTGAAATGCCCAAAAGAATTACAAATTTGGTAGAAATGTTTAGGAACATTTGTATGCAACCAAAACAAGAATATTAATGAGGAGCATAGTTGGTGATGTTGTTGAAAGTGATATGAACAACAAATTTGGAAACTTGGAACTTGAATGCATGATCTTTATAAAGGCCTAAATTTTTGTTGATAATAAAAAGTAACTCACATATACTTGTTAATTATTGTTTCTTTTCCAAGATTATAAAATTAGTCTTTCTTTGAATTGTAATCTTGTTTTTTTTCTATAATTTTAGCAAAGTTTGTATTTGATATTTTTGCTATATCTTTAATCATATCTTTTTTTATTAATAGATTTAAAGAAAAAAATATTTTTTTAGTAATATTAGCATTTTTAATCCTTGTGAAACAATAAAAGAAATCAAAGTCAACAAAAGTATTGAAAGAACTTATTTGTTTAGTTATTTCAATTGAAATACTTTGTAAAAGTAATTTATTATTTGTCTTAAAAATTATGTGTGAAAATCAATAATATTTAGTAAAGTATAGATGCTTGACTTGAATTTTGAATATGTGCTACTTTGACATTTATAATTATAATTCTAAAAGATTTTAGATTGAAGTAAGTAGATTTAATAATATCTTGTATAGAGGCTTTTTAGAAGCTTTATAGATACAAATTTGACTTTACATGTATTTGCAAGTGATTGATAGGTTAAAAACTTAGCCAACAAGTTGACCACTTATTGTACAAGTTGACCACTTATTGTACAAGTTGGTCATGTAGTGTGCATATAATAAACTTGTCTTCAAGTGAGACACATATCTTGTAAGTTAGACATGTGTTGAAGGTCTTATAAAATATTTAAATATAGCTCATATTTAAATAATATATATAGAAGTAAAAATAAAGTTTTTTTTTTTTTTTTTTTTTTTTTTTTTAAATCTTATAAATTCTTTTTTTAAATGTAGTTTATTTTCAAGATTTTTTTAATTTTTTAATCTTTGGCAATAGACATAGTAATTTCTTCTATGATATATATATATATATATATATATATATATATATATATATATATATATATATATATATATTCATTTTTCTTTCAGAAACATCTCACTTGATTTTTGGCATTTAAAAAATTCTTGATATTGATATAATAATAATTATAATAATAATGATATTAGAAACCAAAATGATTACTTTAATAAATGATATAAATTCTAATTTCATGAATTCTAAAGATATTAATTACTTTTTAAAATTAAAAAACCATATGATAGGCTCAAGTCTAGATTCATCTTATTTTGTGGAAGTATATTATGATAGTGCATTTTTGATAGGTAAAAAGCTAGGATTTATTTTTGTCTTCTTAGACATAATCTTAATAGAATAAAATCATAGGTATAATACATAGGACATAAAGCTGCATGATTATTACAAGATCAACTTTACATTAAATTTGAGTAAGAAAAATAATTTTATTTGAAATTGAAACTATTGTAATTATTCAATCATTAACTCAAAATCACATATATTCTATATTGTCAAATAATAATAAACAAATAATAATAATATAAGTTCAAACTATCATTTCAAAATCTTTGTTAAAGTTAGAAGTTTCTAAGATTATCAAACTTAGGTGCATAAATGAAACTATTAGAGATTGTATACAAGACTAGGATTCAAGAGTAAAAAATAGAGTTAGCTCGACATTAAAATAATAACTTGATATAAGACAAGAAGGTCTTGACTAGACCACAAGAAGTGAGTTGTAGAGATTGAGGATTCCCTCAACTTCAACTCTTATATATAGTAGGTCCTAAGAAGCTTTTTGAAAAGTTTTCATGAGGCTTGGAAAGAAAGCAAGCCTAATATCCTTCTTTAGCAACTTCCTAAATCATCTAATGCCTCCTAAAACCTTCTAAGATTTCTTAT